TTCAAAATGTACATGTTGCAGTCTTATACAATGTACTTGGGAGCACATACTCGTAGTCTAAATCCCACATCGGTCGATCTCGATTATGTCGCGAATTGTCATCATGAAATGATGGTTTCATTTGTGGGATGATATATGATTTAATGCATTTGTCAATCGCAATTCCTTATGTGTGTGTATCTGAAATAGATAGATAGAAAATACTTTACACGTATACTCGAAACATCAATGACTTTGCTGTTGTCCTTGATGAGAAAGAAGCAACAGGTATAGCATGTAAGAAGTTCAATTTCATGCAGATACAAACATTAACACATCCATGCATGCATTTATATATGTTTTGGTGATGATTTCAAAGCGTTTCTTGTATACATTGATATTTTGATTGCAGTCATATACAGATGTAAGATTTTATATCGATAGGTGGCTTTATAAATTTTAAGAGTTAAATTTATAAAATTCTAGAGATTGAAAATAAATTATTAATAGAAAATACAAAGAAAAAACTTAAAGTATATGATAATTTGAATTTTGAGGGGATCGATCTCTCTCGCTAACTCCCTCAATCCATCCTTGGTTACATATAAGAATCTTGATGCAGTAGCACTTGCATGCAACTGCCTTGATTAGCAAACGATGTGAAACGATTATAAAACTTAAATTTTATAAGTCCATCCCCTAAATAGAGTATAGTAAAGGGAGATGTAGACTAACAATATGAGGTTAGTTAGTCGGTTGGGTTTGTTAGTCTATTGAGCTAATTTTGTATTGGGCTATAAATATGGCCAAACTAACAAACCCAACCGACTAATTAATCTCATAACCGTTAGTCTACAACTCCCTTTACTTTATTCGATTGTCTAATATAAAAAAAAGATAAGGGAAATCAGATTTAAAAAAAAAACATAAATAGAGTAGAATAATTTCACAATGGTCGATATTCCATGCGTCCTCTCTCATAGTCACCTACAAATTACAAGAGGATTATACAAAAGTATATCAAATTCTAAAATTCAAGTTATATATATATAGTTGTACATACATATAAACCTTAGTTTAATTAAACTGTATCGTGGTCATACAATTTTTACTCTCTTAATATTTATACATTATATCAATTTAGTCATAATTTTAATTTAAATTAATAAATTTATTCAATTAGATGATGATATGTCTCACCACTTGATTGGATAAAAAATTAATTGAAGAAGAGATAGATAACATGGGGGAATCAAACCCATGTCTCAAGAGAAGATTTAGTGCGCCTAAACCACTATACCAAACTCCATAAATATAACTGATAATTGACGCATTCGGTATCAATTCTATTAATCTAAGAGTTATTTTATACAATTATGAACCAAACTAATAATTTCTATAAATATTGAAAATCAATATGTTATTATTTTAATTATTTAATGATCATGTCATTTCTTTTCGTTATGAGTAATAGGGGTGAGCGTTCGATTGAGTCGAGTAAAAAAAATTCGAGTTATTCGAGTTGACGAGTCCTATTTTATAATTCAGATTTGATTTGAATTTTTTTTGAGTCGAGTCAGTTTTATAAAAGTTGAGTCGAGTCAAATTTTTGAGTTTCTATTTAAATTTAACAATAAATATTTATAATATTATGAAATTATTTAATTCTAATTTAAATGATATTTTATAATCATATACAATACATATATACATTTTTTTTATATTTTTTCATATGTGATTTACATATACCATATAAATTTGAGAGACTCAACTCAAACTTCAACTTAAACTTGAAAAATCAATCTACTAATTACTAAAATTTCGAGTTATTCGAGTTGTATTTTACAACTCGATTTGAATTTGAAATTTTTTCGAGTCAAGTTTATGAAAGTACAATTCGAACTCAATTCTAGTCAAGTTTTTTTGGAATCTAGTATAAAAATCAATTTTTCGAGTCGAGTCAAGTTTTGCTCACCCTTAATGAGTAGAGATGGGCATGGGTCGGGTTTGAGTCAACCAGACTCGACCCAAAAGTTTTACATTCTCCACCCGGCCCGATCCGACTCGAAAATTTTACATTCTTCACGCGACCCAACTTTTTGAGATAAAATCCGAAGCCGACCGACCCGAAATAATATAATTATTAAAAACATTCAACAAAAATATGGATTTAATTGAAAAAAATAATATGGAGGTATTATTGTAATTATCTCTAAATATATAAGGTAAAATTATATTTTTCTGGGTCGGGTATTTTTCATCATAAATCCGAACACAACCCGACCCAATTTTTTTTATTATTATAAAAAACGACCAGATTCGGGTCGAGTAGGAACCAGTAAGGTTCAAGTCTCATGCTCATCGTCAATTATGAGTTAATAACATAATAACTTAAATAATACAAAATAATCAATAACTAAAACATAATTTAAGTAATAATCGAGTAACTGTGGGGTTTGTTCAACCTGATTCATTTAACTTGGAACATGAACCGGAGATGATGTAAATTTTTGTTTGTTTAATATAAATATGTTAAAGATATTTACGGGGTAAGTTTTTGAAGGTCAAATTGTTTTTTCATGGGTGCAAATGGAATAGCAGGAAGTGAATATAGTATTTGACAAGACCATGGAATTCAAATTTGTACCATATAATATAAAAAAAAAGTTAAGCATTTACACCTTCTCTTACACGTTTCCTTATATTAATAAATCGCGGTTGCTTCACTTTTACTATTTCCACCACCCAATTTATATTAGTTTCAACGATTGGATTATTCATCAAACTTATTTAAGTTGAATCGTAAATAAACTTTAGTTTATCTTACTTTTATAAACACCTTCAATACGATATGGTATAGTAAATAATTAAAATATGATTCAAAATACAAAATGATAACAAATAGTCCATGTTTAAAATTTTATATATTTTTATCAATCGGTATATATAAAATATAGTCAACGTGGTTGTGATATAATAAAATACTAAAGAAAAAATATTAAGAAATCTACGACAAATGATATACAAAAAGGGAAAGGACGATTGACATTTGACTTTTTTTACCTATTTTTAAAAAGAGAAATTTCTCTAAAATATTATACTATGTTAATTATTATTAGTTTTTAAAACTATGATTTAAATAAACAATTTAAACAATACAAAAATGCTAATTTATTGAGACAAATTTATTAATTTTTTAAAAAAAGAAACATAATAATAAGATTTTGGGTAAACTAGACATTTATTTCATAAACTATCAGTTTTGTTTCATTTTAGTACATAAATCTTTATTTTTTTTAAAATCATACCCAAAGTTTATTTTTCTAAACTTTTTGGAACCTCTTCGTTAAAAACTTAAAGGAATTGTTGTAGGGCATTTTTTATGGGTAAATTACATAATTCATCAATCAATTATCTTCTCACTCTTATTTTGTTCATCGAAATTTATTTTTTTAATTTAATTACTTAACATTCAAATTACTCCTAATTTAACACTATAGCTTTCAAATTTATTTTTATTTGAACTATAAATTAGTAAAAACAATAAGAAATGTCATGTCAAAAAATTATTAATAAAATAAATTAGATTGATTAAAACATGAGAAGTTTGAAAGTTGAGTAGTTAAATTGAAAATTTTCAAACTTTAGTTACTAAGATAGGAGTGAGAAGATAGTTGAGTGATGAATGATATATTTTACCCATAAACAATACAGTGTCGTTAAGTTTTTAACGACAAAGGTACTAAAATGAACCAAAAAGTAGACATTAGGTATGATTTTAAAATAAATGAAAGTTTATATATTAAAATGAAATAAAATTGATAATTTAGGTACTAAACGTATAGTTTACCTTAAGATTTTTTTAAATAGGATGAGGTGATTACAATGTTCAATTTATTAATTATTTTACCTTAAAATATACATATATTAATTATTTTTTACTATTTTATAACATAATATCTAAAATAAATATTTCATATTTTTAAAAATTATATTTTTAAGAAACAATACCAAACCGTTACCAATTTCACATTGACAAATCTTAATTGTTTGGATTGAAAATTAAAACAGCGGGTTGGGTTTGACAATTCACCGTTTGTCAGCGAAAATGGCAACTTGGGTTTTTCAAATTCCTTGAGAGAACGCCAACCGCTACTTCCGACTTCAGCCTACTTAAAGGTTAATTCATGACTTGGGCATTTAATGATCAATAATTTTGAAATTAACACTTTCTAATGCGTGTAGGTTGAAAGAATAAAAAAGCAACTTGACAAATGAGGTATTACGAGAAAAGTACTAAACCCCAAAACAAAATAGTTGCAATCACATATATACATATATTTGCTTATTTATTAAATTAAATAAAAACATAATTAAGGGTAAATGATAATGTTTTATTAATTTAATATATCACTTCACTCCTTTAATGAGAACTAAAATTATCGTATATATTCTAAAAAAAAACTTAAATAAAGGTTTTTTTTATTAAACTAAGATAATTATAAAATTATATATATTTTAAATACTCTTAATCACTTGACGATGAATATTTAATCACCTTATTATAGTGACAGGAACAACACCGTTCCCTTTTATCATTAAGTTAAGTTGGCAAAAATGGAAAGATATTGAATGATAATATGGAGTCCAAAGACCGGTCCTACGTAGCCGTAGCCATGCCGTCGTGGGGCGATGACAAAAATGGCCTCAAAACCAAACAATTAATTAACATTCAAATATGTTAGCTTTTGACAATTATTTAAAGTCACCCCTTAATTAAACCACACACGTTGTTCCTTTTTCATAATTTAAGGGGTAATTATTTACTTTTACTTGCGTATACTTTTTTCTCTTCGTCAACGGTCGGAATCGCTGGCTTCAGCTTCAGCTCCATATTCATATTCATCTCTTTACACACATATATATGTATGTTTAGGGCTTCCTCTCTATCTTCATCAAGGCTGTAAACAGTTTCTCAATTTAATTTCTCAGGCTTTTTACGGTTTTTCGATCACCGGAAGATGAGTCCTCCCAGAAGAGAAGCGATGATGAACGGGGTTCGTCCGACTCCACTGAAGATCAACAAAGAGTCTCATTTGATCCAAAAGCCATCTTCATCAGCTGATCACCCCAAGCACCAGCAGCAACAGAAGCGAGGAGGTCCCATCATCATTTACACGCACTCGCCCAAGATTATCCACACGCAGGCACGGGATTTCATGGCCTTGGTTCAAAGGCTTACAGGCATGTCCAAATTCAACCGTGGGGTTAACCAAAACACTGCACCGGTACGGAAGAACGACAAGGTTAACAGACAAGAAGACAACGAGACCTCTTCTGGAATTACGGATGAAAACGGCGGCTCTTATGTTCCTACTACGGCGACGACGACTGCCGGTGGTATGGGCCCTTTTTTCGCTGATATGCCTCTCTTCACGCCGAGCTCCACTGATTTCTTTTGCTCACCGAGGCCTATTCATAAGTTTGGTGATATGGGGACTTTGAACTCACCAACTTTACTGGAATTCTTGAAAGGACTCCCAGATTACTGAAGACAACTTTTTTTTTTTTTAATTTCTTATGCAAATAATCATATCAATTGTTTAATTCATGTTCATAGTATTTTTTTAAATTCTTTGTATTTTTGTGATTGAATCTTTGTTGGATTTATCTAGACATCAAATGTATGAATTAGAAGCAGATTTCATTCTTCTCACCATCTGAAGGCTGAAGCTCAGATGATCTTGTTAATCATATCTTTAATAAATAATGTATGTGGAATTTATTCAAGTTTTTTTTTTATCTATTACTATCAACAATCACTTTATAATTGTCATCTTATGAATTTAGGGGGCAAAAGAATAATAACTGCTCCTCCTCTCCAACAAAAGAGAGTTTTCTTTACTTTCCTTATATTTACAGATGTCTAAGTCCTCCCTCTTCCGTATCATAACACTTACATATGCTCTCAAAATAACCCTAAATTCGTCATGTCATATAACATGCTCTGAGAGAGAAGCAAGTACTACATTCTTAATAAATTATACATGTGAGACCCATCTAAGCTTCCATCAGTTACCATCGAGAATCACCCTTCGACTATCATCCCAGTTAAGAAAGCAGTAGCTTTTCCCTCTTCTTCCCTACATAAGAGAGTTTTCTTCCATTTTCTCATAGAGGGATTTAGAAGACTCACTTGCTCCTCCATACCATACCAGGGGCGGATGTACATGGCTCCTTAGGGAGCCATTGGACACCCATTATTTTGATAAAAGTGTTAAATTTAGTTTAATTTGTTAATAGGAATAGAAAAAAAATAAGAAAATTTACATACCCAAAATTTTGGACCCCCACTTTTTAATTTCTAGATCTGTCACTGTACCACACCAAAGCATTTGTATATGCTTTTAAAATACCCTCAACCTCAAACCTAAGTCTTATATATCACCATGGCCAACGATTATCCACCCACACTAAAAGAGGTGATCCTCCTATGAAAAGAGGTGATCCTCCTATGCAGGGATGGATCAGGGGGATGCTGGGGGTGCTATCTCACGCCCTAGAAATTTAAAATTCCCTTGTATTCTATATGAATTAATTAATTTCTCACCTCTTATATTTTATTCCCTAAAGTTTTAATATAATTTTTTATGTTCACAACTTTGTGTGTCCGTACCTACTCCAATGATCAGGGATTCAAATAGCGGAACGCAATCGCAATAGTGGTCGCTATTTCGCGGTAGCGCCGTCGTCCGAAATCGATATTTGGAAAAACTATGGTGGACAGCAGAATCACGACAATAACGGTCTGTCGCGACCGAAATTTAGCGTTTAATGGTAAATAACGCTGATAACGGGACGCTATTCCCGTTATTCAACCGTGACTTGAAAAAAAAAAGATTTATGAGGTCAAGAGCAGCATCGTCGGTGAAGAAGCAATGGAGTCGAAGGACCGAGGGTTGTTCGATTTCATGGGAAAGAAAGACGAGGAGATGCTCGTAACTGAGTTTGACAATGTTAAGATTGAAGAATCAAAGCCAGAGAAAGAGGGAGAGGAGAAGAAGAAGCATGGTCTCTTGGAGAAGCTTCACCGATCAGATAGCAGCTCCAGGCAACAGGACATTGATGGAGTATTGAATCCAGCGGCACCGAATAAGGTTTCTTTAGATGGCCATGATGGTGCATGGCTATTTTCCCGGTATATCACCGGTGATCGATATTATTACCGATCTAACACCGGTCAGACTATATTTCCTGATCAAACACCCTTAGCAGGAAAGCGTGCCCCCTGCACCGCGCTATATGCTGATTTGGCACCACGTGGGTATAGCGCGCCCCCTGCCCCGCGATATACGGTGATATGGCGCCACGTGGGTATAGCGTGCCCCCTGATCCGTGCTATACCTGGATATCTGACACGTGGGATATAGCGCGGTGCAGGGGGCGCACTATACCCCTAATTACCAGCCCCTCACGTCCCCATCCTCCCTATAAATACCCCCATCCTTAATCACTTTTATCACACCAAATTCTCTAAATTTCTCTCAAATACTCTCTTTTTAAGGAATATTTTATAATATTTTTACTATTATGTTTCTACTTTATTTAATATTTTACTAATATAATTCTTTTGTAGATATATAATGGAAGGCAGTCTACTTCGCTCGGATGGAAATCATATATCTCTACACTTTGCTGATACGGTAACATTTTAACGTTTTAATTTAATTTAAATTATTAGTAATATTTAGTTGATTTATTTAATGCATGGTTATTAGATTAAGAATTAAATATCTCGACACTTTACTGATACGGTAACATTTTAACGTTTTAATTTAATTTAAATTATTAGTAATAATTAGTTGATTCATTTAATGCATGATTATTAGATTAAGAATTAATTTTTGTAATTATTTATTTTTAGGAGAAGGACTGTGTATTAGATCCTTTTATTAGGAATCTTAAGTTAGTGATACCCAGCCGTGTCTTGCCGTATTTAGTAGAGGCTGGATTCGGTTACATAGGTAGATATCAGGGTTACTGTAAGATAGAGCCAGACCTGATTTCTGCCTTAGTAGAGCGGTGGAGGCCGGAGACCAACACATTCCATCTTCCGTGCGGAAAGTGCATGATCACGCTTGAGGATGTTTCTATGCACCTGGGGCTTCCGGTGGATGGAGATGTGATATCGGGGATAGCTTCCGGTTCTTGGACTACTTTGTGTCGGGATAGTCTAGGACGTGTCCCAGAAAATTTTATCGGAGGTAGGATACCGTTAAATTGGTTAGATGCCAATTTTTGGGAGTTGAGCGCAGACGCCTCTGAGGATGAGGTTAAGATGTATGCACGGGTATGCATACTGCAGCTGATAGGAGGGTTGCTGATGCCAGACAAATCACGCAACCTAGTTCACTACATGTAGTTGCGACATCTTAGCGACTTTCGTCTCGCCGGATCATTCAGTTGGGGCTCGGCAGTTTTGGCTTTGCTGTATAGGGAGATGTGTGGAGCCACTGACTACAGGCGTAATGCTATCGGCGGATGTCTCCTGTTGCTGCAGTCTTGGGCATGGTATCGATTGCCCTTTTTATGTCCCGTTGTGAAGAACCCATTCGTATTTCCACTACTTCTGAGGTAATTATAAAATTGATTTTGTATATTAATAATTTTATACAGCGTATAACAAATTTTTTTCCTTGAATAGGTGGTCTACTGATATAAAAAATCATCAAGAGCTACCTGATGATTTAGAAAAAATTAGGGTGCTAATCGATCAGAAGGCTGGCACACAGGTATGAATTTTAATGTTTACAAATCGATTTTAGATTATAGTTATATAATTAGATTATTATTTTGATAAAAATTATATATTATTTGAGGGCGGTGATCCCACCTGAGTTGAGGGGTCCATCAGATGTTTGGATGGCGATAGCCCCTCTGATATGTTATGCGACCGTCGAGTGGCACTCCACTGATTGCGTGCTCCGACAGTTTGGTTGTTTTCATCCAATTCTGGAAGCACCTCGCAATATGGATGAGTTGCATAGCTTAGATAGACGCGGAAAGATAGATACAGATTGGCTGGTGAGGCATCGTGAGTGGGTCGTGTTATGGGAGGATCGACATCGGCGCCTTCCACGTAAAGAGTCCATTTTTACTGACTTCTTGATGTATGCTGAGGATTATTATGAGTGGTTCAACAGTAACGGGAAACCGTTTCTACTTCCCGAGGATGCATGAGGGTAGACCTTTCCACGACGTCCACAGAGACGTTCACCGACACAGCACCATCGTCCCCGACTCGTGGACGGAGAGAAGGTGCTTCCGGTTCATCTTTAGCTGCACCAGCAGGACCTTCCCAGCAGCCACCGTAGCCATATATGATGCCACAGCCATATATGATGCCGCCATCGCCTTTCCATTACTAGATGCCGCCGCCGCCGCCTTCACCTAGTTTTATGACCCCGCTACCGCCACCGTCACAAATGACCCCTCCTGGAGGCTATTATGGGTCTATGTTTGCAGATTCAACTTGGGGTTCATATGCTGGATATTTGGCGGGTTCATCCTCATCACCCATGGCCGCAGCACAAACACCTCATGTACAGTTTTCACACTCAGCGATGTCTGGGTTTTCCCAGTTTTCGCATGCCGGTGGGATAGTCAGTCATACACCTCCAGGGTCCTTATTCTATGGAGGTGCTTCATCGTCATCAGCTCCTCATCAACCTGATGTACCTGCTCAGGACGATGACGATGACGATGACGACGATGACGATGGTGATGACGACGATGACGATGATGATGACAGCGAGGAGTCAGAACCAGTGATACGAAGAAATCCTCCTCGAGACCGACAACCACCGCCATGCGGAACACATTCGCGACGCAGGCATCAATAGATTTTTTTTATTATATTTGTATTTACTTTATTTTGTTTAATTGTAATTTTTTATTATTTCTCATTTAATACTTACTTTATTTTGTTAAATTTGTTAGATTTTTTTTTAATATATTTTAGTTAATTTTGTTTATTACCATTTAATATCAGTTATTGTAATTTAGTTATCATTTACCATTTAATTCTTATTGTAAGTTTGTTGTATTTAAATATCAAATTGTTATTAGTTTGATAAAATTTAATAATTGTGTTCGTTTTTTTAATCTTCATCAGCGATTATCGAATGACATTAACTTGAAGTAAATGCAAATTAAAATACAAGAATTATTATTTGATAAACAAATACATCATTTCCTCATCAATTGTTACTTGATGACAACATAAGTGGACATGTTTTTCTAGTGTGTCATGGGTTTCTACAATGACCACATCTTCATAATAAACAATAGCTGAAAGTCGCGCCATTCTTTGAGTTTAAAAGTGCGGCAATATTATATCTGCAAAAAAATAACTTAAACAAACCTGATTAAATAAATTATATATGAACGAAAATATGACACAATACATTTTTTACACATCAACGTAAATAATTTAAATAATATAATTTTATATTATTACTTGCACCGCAAAACTATTTTGACGTATGCTCCCGCTTTTCAATTTTACAAACATAAAAATTAATTGAAAATAATTAATATAATATTTTTTTTCAAATAATGATAATAAAAAATAAGTTTAATTAAAAAATTATAACAAAATTACCTTATAACGAAAAATCGAACGAACTTCTAAATCAAATTTGAGAAGATTGCGAGAATTATTACTCGTTGACGGAATTGTTGTATTAATTTATAAGAGAGGAGAGATGTGAGGAGATGTGAGCCGAAAGAGTGTATTTATAAGCATATAAGGCGCGGTACCTGCACCGCGCTATATGTAATTATTCAAATAAAAGATATAGCGCGGATCATGGACCACATTAAATATAATTTTGGTACGGCGTATAGCACGTCCCCTGATCCGCGCTATACCCCTACGTGGCGTATAGCGCGGATCAGGGGGCGCGCTATACCCACGTGGCGTCAGATCACCATATATCGCGGGGCAGGGGGTGCGCTATACTCACGTGACGCCAAATCAGCATATAGCGCGATGCAGGGGGCGCACTTTCTTGCTAAAGGTGTTAGATCAGGAAATATAGTCTGACCGGTGTTAGATCGGTAATAATACTGATCACCGGTGATATACTGGGAAAGTAGCCATGGTGCATTTGAAACCACTGTTGTTGAAACCACTAATCCAACCGACTTGTTGGATTCTACTGATAAACTGCTGTTGAAACCACAAATCCAACCGACTTACTGGATTCTACTGATAAAGATATGTTGGATGCAAAATATTGGGAGATTAGTATGTATAAGACTGCATTGGAAGGGAGGAATGGGGGAGTTGGCGGATGGTGAAGTGGATATAGATGATGATTTGGAGGTTTAGATTGGGAATAAGTTGATAAGTGATGCCTTTTTAGATAAATTGTGTGATAGGAAAAGTGTATCCTCAATTATAATTATTATATTTCAAGATAAATTTTGTGAAATTTTAAAAAATTTACGACTGCGACACCGCGGTAATCATGATGATATCAATTATGTCCGCAATCGCTATAAATACAATACGACCGAAAATATAACCGTAAACGTTATTTAAATCCCTGATCACCACAAACCATGATTTCTCATCATTCATATCAACCATTCTATTTTTCTTTCAAATACATTAATTATTTTCCTCACTGTCCAATAGGAAAGTTTTATTAAAAAAAGCGATTAATCAGTTCGAGCTTACGAAAAAGAGAGTAAGCTGAAAAATCCAATACTCAGTGTAGGAGAACATTAGCAATTTTACTGTTTTAGACAAATAATGTATCAAATCTTGAATGTTTAATTTATAATCCTATTAGAATGCATGCTACCATTTACTTAATTCCATCTTTGCATTTCTCAGACTCAACATTTAACCATAGTTTGAAAATATTATATTAAATTAAAACTTAATATATATACATTGAAATTCAAACTTTATAAATCTCATTTTATATATTTCAAATGATTTTATGAAAATAATTTAAAAATTGAATTAATTTGACCCTTCGATAGAAATATGGTACGATAGGCGAGTGGGAAGATCTCCCATATTATGATTGTACAAAATAATAACTAAAATTAATTTTTTTATTTAAAAATTCAAGTTTCATGTATATTTTCATAAAGTTAAAATTGTATATAAATTAAAGTTCCATATATCAAATAATGAATTAAAATTTTGGAGCACATAATTCAGCATGTGAAATGGCCAAGATGCCGCGTGCTGTCAACTTCACCCAAGGAACTCTCATTTCTGTAGAGCCACACATGGAAGCGTCGGGGAGCTCAATAAGAAATACTCCTACTATAAAATATATCTCTTATTGATTTTTAATTTTTTTTAATTTTGACCTCGATTAAACTTTTTTAAAATATATATATTTTTTACATATTTTCATCAATAATAAATTTTAAATAATATTTAGTCAAAGTAAAAAAAACGATCTAAAAAGTCAATAATAAACATCTTTTATAAGACCGATGAAGTAAAAAAAATATAGTCAAATCATGAATTTTTTTGAATATCGTTTAAAGTATTTTTAAATGAACATAAAGTACATAAAGGATTAGATTGGGACACTAAAGTTTGACCTTCAATCTAATTTTTTAGGTTGATGAAAAATTATTTTTATTCAGTATCTCATATAGTAATATTTAAATACTTTTAAGTTCTTATTTTATTTTATAAATAAAGAAAATTTCTGTCAAGAAAAAAATAAGAGGTTTTATTGAACTTAAAAATACTTTAATAAAAAAAATACATTATTTATCATTCAATCAAACATTCAAATGGTATTAATAAAAAAGTAAAAATACAACTCCGTTGACACCATGTTCACGTTCAAACTGTGTGTACAAACCGGTTTGGCCACTCTGTATTAAAGTAATTACTAAATTTTAAGGAGAGTTATGCTTATGCATTTGGCCTCGGAATCCTTCAGCTTTATCTCAATTTCAACTTGAATGGTCTAAGTTAATCAAATAAAATAAATTTCACATACTTTGTAATTCTAACAAGAATTTTATATCTATCAGATTCAAAACTATGTTGAAATATTCATTCAAACCAGTAAACAATCTGTATTAAATCTGTCCAAAAGAAAACCAACTTGATATCTTTTGTATAAGCATAGCATTCACAAGTCCTAGCTCCTAACAGCAGCATTCTTGACGTGTGCGTGTGCGATTCATGGGGCGAAAACCTATTTCCCATCCTTGCCGTAAGTATCCTTGAGCGTAACCGTACGCTTAAATACAAGTTTTTCAGCACTAGAGTCCTTGGCAACGCTAAAATACCCTGAAATTACAAAATACAGAAATAAATATATAAAATTAACACACTACAAGGAACCCTATACTTAAAGCATTAACAGCAATAATTAAACCTTTTAACAAGATTTATAACTCGCTATAATGTAAGTGCCGAAATAAAATATAAGAACTAAGAACTTGAATCATATTGTCATTATGCCAAACTAAGAAAGATATATCCATTAGACTGCTGTGCATACCTAGCCTTTCAAACTGAAATGTATCCCCTACGGCAGCATTCCGAAGTGATGGTACTGCGTATGCAGCATGTAGAACCACTTTGGAATTAGGGTTGAGATCAGTGAGCCAATCATCAAGTTCAGCAGGATTCTGATGAAATAAATTGAAGTTGTAAGAATTCATGATACAATGTGACAAAAAGCAAGAAAAGAATCCAAATAGCTAATAGATAACTGCCAACCTCAGAATTAAAGAGTTTGTCAAACAATCGTACTTCAACCTTCAATGGATCAGAACCTGGAGACGGTTCAGCAACCCAGTGGAGAACCCCCTGTGCAAATATTTTGTAAGGGGCTTAGGAATAAATACCGAGCAGAAAATATACACGCATTGTACAATCCTTAAAGAATATGATTCGAACAAGTAGATGTAATCAGAAAAGTCTAGAACTGCTTCAAAAATAGTTGAAACAAATAAGAACCTTTGGCTTGCTTTTCTTAGAAGGATCATATTCAGCTCGAATCTCAAGCATGGTCTCTTTATCATCTGCCAATATCACGTCTGTACACTTAATGGGGAATGCATATCTGCGAAAGGAATCATGCTAGACATTTACTAAAATTTTCTACACAAAGTTTACAATGTATATTCCTCTGTGAGAGGTATTGGGGTGGAGGGAGGTTATGTTCATATGCATGCCTAAGCAATGCTGACCTGCCAGGAGCCAACCCATAGTAATTTTTAGAATCCTTCATCCGGAAATCTGAGTGCTCAATGTATACAACATTCGAAAAAGGCACCTAAAGTTAAGAGTAGAACAAGTAGTTATGACCACAGACTAGAATAAAAAAACATTTTGGAGCAAATTGCAATTTAAAGTTAATATCTGCTTTCGTAATTGAAGGGAGATGCGTCATGCATGAGCAATACTGGTCCAAAATGATTCTGAAGGGGAAAAAAACAGGCAGAACATTCAAATTAAAACAATCTAAAATTAGTCACTCTTCTTTACCCCCACCTTGTAAAAGGCAGATGTGTCATCTGCTTGAGCATCAGGCCATTTCTTTGCATCGAGATCCAAAACAGACCCAGATTCAAGGTTGGTTATTACTACCTGAGAACAAAAATATGAGGTGGAGACTGGATAATATGGTTTTAAAGGAAGAATCCAGACTAGATAATGACCTTAAGAGGATGCAGCACAACCAATACACGAGGTGCTATCTTGTTTAATTCTTCTCTTATGTGATACTCGAGGCGATCCAAACGAATCATACTACAATCACTGTGGAACAAGATGTTAAAGCATTAGCAAAAGTCTTGGCAAATATGAAACGCCAGGTTTGTCTTTCATGCATGTATATATAGTGCACTAGACAATAACTACACATAAAACAAGTGAATAAGATGAGAATGTGGCAATGTGCATATTCAATCTTCTAGTGATTCCAATTCCTCGAACAAAAGAATTTATCGCAGTTGAAGTCACACCCCTACGCCGTAAACCAGCTAATGTCATGAGACGAGGATCATCCCAACCATCAACATATTTGTTTATCACAACGTAGTTTAACCAAACCACATCATAGTGGATGCATATTAGGCATCAACTTAATAAACTTTGTAAAACAAGCAGAAACTTTAGATGCAAAATCTTTTTATGCTCAAATTCTAGTTTAATGAACTATGAATTATCTTTGAAAACTTTGAACAAATTCAATCAAGTGCAAAAACATTTTGCCTTAATTTGTTATATCAAATATTATAAAACATGGTTCAATAATCTCCCCTTTTAGATATAACAAACATTTGAAAATTTGTTTTGGCAAAACTCCCCATTAATAAAACATTTCATGAAAAAGAGAAATATTTAGAAAATATTAAAGCTCCCCCTTTTCATTCTTGAAATTGAATTTTTCAAACTCATACTTCTCCCCCTTTTTGTTATATCAAAAACAATTCAACTTTAAAGTTAAAATATAACAATGGAGAGTAAGTGGTAAATTTTAGCATAAAATCATTTGAAAAATCAAAGCTCCCCTCAATAAAAGCATTCCAAATAAAAATTTGACTTTAAAGGCATGACACTTAAAAGACATTGAATTTCAACAAAGATGAACAAACATGTTAATAGCACATGAAATTCAATATATCTAAGTCTAATATACTTTATGCAATACTAATTGTTATATTTAAGTGCATGTGCTGTTATATTTAAGTGCATGTGCATAAAGCTATCCAAAAATGTTATGCATTTGAAAAATTGATATCAATTGTTAGAGAGATATCATTTGCAATAAATCACATGCATAAACATTTAAATTAAAGTCAAAAAATAAAATTTGTAAAAACAAAGAATTAAAACCAAGTTTGACCAAAATTCATTATAATGAACAAACATTTATGAAAAATCATCAAAACTTTAGAAAACATTCATCACGATTCTTTTTAACATACATGAGATAGAAAAAATAAAATTATTTAAAATCAAAACTCATGCACACTTAAACTAAATGAGCAACCAATTATGCAAGAAAATCAAAATAAGCTTAGAGGTTACCCATTCCATATCAAGTGTGGCTAGAGCATTTGAATATCTTCACTTTCATCACTATTGCACCCATACACTACAAGAGACATTTATGTGGATTTTGGTATCCAAATTGCTTTGGATCCTTGAACATTTTTTCAATGCCCCTTGTTTCCTTTGGAACCTATACTTGTTTAATTTTAAAACGTTTTCCTTTCTTTAAAGGACATGTATGTTCCAAATGACTATGGAAATGACAATGTGAGCATTTTACCATTTTTAAATATGATGAATTGGTTTGAGAAATTAATTCTTTTTCCTATGTTAAGCTTTCAAGCTTAACTTTAAAATCAAGATTTTCTTTTTCCAAACCATTGATTTTGATTTTTGAAAACTCAAAATCATTTTTCAAAATTTCATTATACTTTTAAAAATCTAATCGTGCTTTCAAAAGAAAATCATTTTCAATTTTCAATTTTGAAATCAATTTCTTATATTTGGAATTCATGATCTCAAGTTCCAAAAACAATTCATCATAAACATCTTGTAACTCATCAAAAGAATATGAATTTAATTCATTTGAGTTAAAAGATACCTTAGGCTCTTCAAGAGTTGTTAAGCACACTAGCTTTGGTGGTTCTTTTTTCTTGTCACCATGAAGTTTGTCGAGCTTATTCCAAATAACTTTGGCATTTGAACAAGAAGAAACGCCTTCATAGACATCGGGACCAAATGCACAAAACAATATGTATATGGCCTTGGCATTTTGTTGGGTGTTCTTTCGTTCTAGGGCACTCCACTCTTTCGTCTTCTTCTTTGGAGAAGAGTAACCGTTCTCAATAATCTCTCATGCATCAAGATCATTGGATTGAATGAATAGATTCATTAATTTCTTTCAATGACGATAGTTGGCTCAATTGAAGTACGGAGGTTTGTCGATCGGTTAGAGTCTTCTATGTGGAATGAGCGAGAGGTAGAAGTCATCTTCTCAGTTGCTTCAAAAATGGATAGAGCTTCTTCAAGGATCGTCTCAAGGTTGTTAGACCTTCTAATGAGTCAAACTCTGATACCAATTGTTGGGATTTCGATAAAGCTCAAATGATCAACCGAATGATTCGCCAAGAGGGGGTGAATTGAATTTTTAAGATTAGAGAGTAAGAAGTATAAAGATGAGACAATTTGCATAAGGATTTATAGTGGTTCGACTTCTCAACCAAGTCTACATCCACTACATAAGCTCCTCATGTAGGATTTTCTAACAAATTCATTAATATGTTTTTTCTTTTTGTAGGATAAAGAGATAACCTTTACAACTCCCTAACTTTTCAAAGGCTAAGCTAGAACCAATCCCCTTTACAAAGGTTAAGAAATGTAAACAAGAAAAATCTCTCAAAAGAAAGGTGTTTAGAAAGATTTAAGCTCACAAAAGCAAAACATAAGGATATACAATTAAGCTCAAAACACAAATATTTATAAGAGAAAGGAAAATAAAGATTGAAAAACTTTTCTTTTGTGTATGAATGTTTGGATAGGTGTTGATAACCTTCTTCAAGTGTCCTCAACTTGTTTTTATATGTTGGAATGATTTTGTGACCATTTTTAGCAATTGGGGATTAATTTTCTTCAAAATAAAAATGCACAGGACATGGAGTATCGATACTCCTTTAATGAGAATCGGTATTACCTTTGTAATATTTAAATAAAATAGCCGTTAAAGACCGTTGGGCTTGACCAGTATCGATACTATACTTCATGGTATCGATACCACTATGCAAAGTAGTATCGGTACCCCTTTGAGTATCGGTACCTATTTTGTATTCTGGAATTTCAGCAATTTGGAAAACAACTGGTAGTATCGATACTATCTAGAGAGTATCGATACTTCTCTTACCTTTGGTATCGGTACTACATGAACATTATCGATGTTGTTCATGTAGTATCAATACTGTAAGAACATTATCGATACTACATACCTAGAAAACCTTTTTGCTCAAATTCTAGTTTATTTAACTTTGAATTATTTTTGAAAACTTTGAACAAATTCAATCAAGTCCAAAAACATTTTTCCTTAATTTGTTATATCAAAATATTATAAAAATGATTCAACACTTACTAACCAAACAGACAAGCAAACATAAAAATAAACTTAGAAACTAAGTTCAACTATGAAAAAAGCTGAATTTTTTCTAAAATAATGCAAAAAAAACAAAACAAATAACTAGAACAATAAATCAAATCCATAAATAATAAATGTAATATTTGAATTTTATTTCAGATTTTGAAATCCTCATACAATCTTCAAAAAACTTTTTGCAAAAGTGAGATGGGAGAGACTTGTTGACGATGACAAAAATTAAAATAAAACTCTTAAGCATGCAAAGGAAATGAAGAACAGTGAAAGAAAAAAAATAAAGCTTGAAAATGAAGAACAAAAGAAAAACAAAGTGAAAGTGGAGAGAATGAATGACTCAATAAGAGCGGCAGCCACGTAAAAAATGGAGGAAATGAAATGAACTAAAACCTTAAATATTATATATGTGATGGCATATTCGTAAATATTTCAAATCTTATTTTATGATTATACCGGGTTGAGTCGGATATTGTTTTACTCTGAACCCCACTCTGACCCAAACCTGACATTCTCTTATGTACAACCTGATCTAATCCAACTCGAATCTGATTTTTTTTAAGAAAAAAACCCGATCCTATAAGATTGGGTTAAGTCGGAACCCATTGGACTAGGGTCAAATGCCCATCCATATTCACAGCTATATATGGTACGTTTGTTTACATGTATTTTGTTTTCTTAAAAATATTTTACATGGTTTTATATGTTTGGCGGGAGGAAAATATAAAGTTAAAGTAATTCATTTTACAAGTCAATATAAAATTAAATTGTTTTCCTCTAGAATGACTTGCGTATTTTTTATTGATAAGTTGTTTTACAGGATTTTATTCTCTATAACATCTTCCCAAACCCTACTCAACAATATTTTCAATTCTTTCTTTCTCTCATCGACGACACCATAATTCATTTCTGACGAATTTCATCGGTGAAATCACTGGTAAAATTTATTTGGCTTAAAACATATTTTAGTATCTAAACTATACCTCAAAATACCTTTTGGTGCCTAGATAATTTTGTTTGCTAATAATAAGAGCCTAACGTTTCCAATTTTACACTTTTAGATGCATAGACCATAACGGTCGTAAATTTGATCGTTATCTAAAACATGTCACACATGAAAATTTAAAAATTATTTTTTTCGATACTAGTTTTTGTCCGTTCTTCTTATTATTATATTATATTTATTATTATTAAATAATATTACAAAGCCCAATTTGAAGGCCCAAATTACAAGCAGATCCATGTCCATAGTGATCTAGACCCGGGGATACAACCAAACCCGAGGAGGCCCGAACCCGAGAAGATCTGACCCAGGAAGCCCAATACATCCTGGCCCGATCCAGAGGCCCAATCTAGAATCAACAGCTAGGGTTTCCACTCATCAGCTTCAACCGCCATCTCTCACAACTTTTGGATATGGAGAGATCCAACGGTCCACAGCTCATCTAGATAAAACCCTAGGGTATCATAACCCTAGGGCTATGATTTCGGCTCCAACGCCTCCAATCATCTGCTGCTACGGCGCCACCGCCTCCAATGAAAGGATCTAGAGGGTGAAGGAGAACCGCACAACACATCGGCCTATAGTGAGTCACCACCATAGATCCGGTGACTCACCAAAATCTCATCATTACGACCGATTTCCTGAGGCCTATAAATAGCCTCGACCCTGCAAGAAAACAACAGACACAACAACATAACAAATGAGAGCAAGCAAGAACATACAATAACGAGAGAGAAATAGAGATATCAACCAGAGAATAGCAACCAACAGTCATCAACAAATCGAAAAGAAAAGGAAAAGAAACTTACTGAGGAGCCATAACACGTTGTCGGAACGTTGGGATTTCGAAGGTAAAAAATTAGATCTAGCCCTATTTATTCGCTTTTAGGACGAAAGGGGCATAGATTTGGGTTTAGAAGAAAAAGGGCGAATGGCTGTCGGCCAACCATCCCACCGGTGGGATTTTTAGAGAGAGGGCAGAAAGAATGAATTCTCTCATTTTTAGAGAGAGAAAGAAATTTGAAGAAATGAGAGAACAAAGGCCATTTTCGACCATTTATACCTAAATTGAAACTACGTCGTTTTAAGGTGGAGGTGTCTGTGTAATTTGGGGATGGGAAAATTATACGTGTGGTCACTCTAATCTCACAATTCAGTCACGAAACAGGTTATTGAGCATTTTAATTTGGTATTTTTATTTTATTTATTTTCATTTTAGTCACTAAATTAAGTTCGTACCTTTATGTTTTGGGTTTTTAATTATTGTTTCTTTTAATTTAGTCATTCTATATTATATGTTATTATTTTAATATTTTAATTGCCTTGTATACGAGATGCCATATTCTACATACCATTTTGGTCATGCATAATACTTGGATTTATTTTAGATTTTAATTTAGCCCTATTTATTCGCTTTTAGGACGAAAGGGGCATAGATTTGGGTTTAGAAGAAAAGGGGCGAACGGCTGTCGGCCGGCCATCCCACCGGTGGGATGTTTAGAGAGAGGACAGAAAGAATGGATTCTCCCATTTTTAGAGAGAGAAAGAAATTTGAAGAAAAGAGAGAACAAAGGCCATTTTTGGCCATTTAAGGGTATTTATATCCAAATTGAAACTACATCGTTTCAAGAGAAGGGTGTCTGTGTAATTTGGGGATGGAAAAATTATACGCGTGGTCACTCTAATCTCATAATTTGGTCACGAAACAGGTTATTGAGCATTTTAATTTGGTATTTTTATTTTATTTATTTTCATTTTAGTCACTAAATTAAGTTCGTACATTTATGTTTAGGGTTTTTAATTATTGCTTCTTTTAATTTAGTCATTCTATATTATATGTTATTATTTTAATATTTTAATTGCCTTGTATACGAGATGCCATATTCTACATACCATTTTGGTCATACATAATACTTGGATTTATTTTAGATTTTAATTTAGCCCTATTTATTCGCTTTTAGGACGAAAGGGGCATAGATTTGGGTTTAGAAGAAAAGGGGCAAACGGCTGTCGGCCGGCCATCCCACCGGTGGGATGTTTAGAGAGAGGACATAAATAATGGATTCTCTCATTTTTAGAGAGAGAAAGAAATTTGAAGAAATGAGAGAACAAAGGCCATTTTTGACCATTTTCGGCCATTTAAGGGTATTTATACCCAAATTGAAACTACGTCGTTTCAAGAGGGGGTGTCTGTGTAATTTGGGGATGGGAAAATTATACGCGTGGTCACTCTATTCTCACAATTCGGTCACGAAATAGGCTATTGAGCATTTAATTTGGTATTTTTATTTTATTTATTTTCATTTTAGTCACTAAATTAAGTTCGTACCTTTATGTTTTGGGTTTTTAATTATTGTTTCTTTTAATTTAGTCATTCTATATTATATGTTATTATTTTAATATTTTAATTGCCTTGTATACGAGATGCCATATTCTACATTCCATTTTGGTCATGCATAATACTTGGATTTATTTTAGATTTTAATGCATATGTGGGTTTTTTTTCTATTTTTAAAATAATTTCACCTTGATTATCGTGGATTAATTTTTAAAGCTAAAGTTTTTCCCTTTATATATATAAGTTTACCTTATATTATATTATATTGCCTAAATTATTTATGACCTATTTTATATTTTACATATTAAGTAACTTTCGTACCATATATATACTATCTACAATGGAAAATGGTAATATTTATAAACATATGCAGAAAATGGATATATTCTATATTGTATTTACTATGTCGTAATATATATGCCATTCCTTGTTAATTATAATGTTATATTTTATTTATTAATATCATATGTATTATCTTCCATATATATATATATATATCTTTTTAATAAATATGTTTGTTTAGGTGCCATTAATTTAGACATTTTTCAATTTAATCCCTATAAGTTTAATATATGTAATCGGATTATATTATTTCCTTAACTAATTAGGAATATATTTTAAATGATTTGTTGGTATAAAATAATGTCCTTAATGTTTCTTAAGGGGATTATAAATTAAATTAAATACAAATTTATCATTTACTGCAAATACATTAATTAATAAATACCGGTATCAATTTTGGGCGTTTTGGGGTGCTAATCCTTCCCCATACGTAACTGACTCCCGAACTCATTTTTCTGGTAAAGCAGATACGAGTTGTATTATTTTAATATTATTCTCAGAAATTTTATTAAAATAATATGACATTTTGGTGACCAATCTCACCGAATAAAAGATTGGTGGTGACTCTACAATTTGGTGTTTTATCTGATTCATGGAGGATAAACACTTACTTTTTCGAGACTAGTTACACTGTATGGGGTGTACTATTTGCACTCTCCGTCGCCAGGGCAGAGAAACGTCTCGACAGCTTGGCGACTCTGCTGGGGATTTTAAAAAAAAAAAAATAGAGAGTCCAACCACCAGTTTATTAATATTTGTCTTTGCAATAAAATTATAAATTTGTTTTAAATTTAGTTTTTTCTTTTCATAATTTTTATACTAACTTTTTGTTTTTATGTATGTACAGATTTAATTTTGGGTTATTAAAATAGAATAATAGGTTGTATATTATTATTTTATGCTTTTCTTCACCCACTATACACTACATTCATGACATGAGCTAAAACCCCGCTCTTATCCTATTTAAGTGAATTATGGTTTTCACCTCTGTATGGGATAGGGGACCATTCTTTGAGCTCACACCTTATGTTCCTCGTGTGATTTTCACCTCCGTATGGACATAAGGAAGTGTGTTCATTCGAATTGAACTTAATCTGAAAGTCTGTAATGGACCAGGATTAAGGGCTTGACAGTCTAAGGGGACACCAACAAAGGATAATTTGTTGATCCTTCTTACTCTAGAGCCTAAAACCAGCATATAGTAAACCTAGGACTTGAGTCTAGATGGAGCTTAACCCAATTAAGTCTTGTAAGGATAGCACACAAGGAAAAGTATGTCGAATCTTTTAATTTACGCATTATTGTTTTATTTTTTGAATAAATGCATGCGAACTAAAAATCATGCGGTTAGGTTATTTTTCCAAACAAAGCATGGAACTAGAAAGAATGGGGATATGATATATTTACATATATGATTCTTTTTGTATATACATTTTATTTTACCCTAACTTGTTTATATTAATTAATTTTGCTTGCATGGCATAATCATGGCATAAACAGAAGGTATTAATTCAAGAGTGGTCATCAAAATAAAAAAAATCATTATGGACAAAGGGTTTAATGATCAAGTAAACTATAACACAGCCAAGTAAGGGCATCATGATGAAAATTTGAGGATAAAAGAGAGCTATGTGCCCAAAAATCGTATGTCCGTTGAAGAGCAAAAGGAGATACGAGAGATAAAGGAGCAAATGTCCAAAATGATGGATAAAATATCTGTTTTGACCAATGAAAAAGAGACTTCTGCACAAAAAAGAGAAAGAACTCAATGAACCTAATCCTGCAATCTTAGATATACAAGGGACTTCTGATTTTAACCAATGTAAGAAATTTTGCACAGTCACTATTCATACCAACAATTCATCAGGAGACCCTAAGAAAATAATTGTAAAAGTTCCTAGAGATGAAAAGAAACCCTGTACTCAGAAATCATCATCGTATAAGAGTTATTTTCTAACTTTAGAAACTCAGGGTCAATCCAGTTTGGTCACTGATTATCCTGACAAGTTGATACGAAAGGTAGTCAAAGGTAAGAGTAATAGTGAGGGCATCCATAAGGAAGAAGATCTGCTGAAAAACGAGACTCAAATACGCCAGTTGGAAAATGAAAATGATAAATTGAGCACAGAAATAGAAACTATGCGTGAGGATCTCCAAAGGATCAGTCAAGCCTTTCAAAAGGTTGGTTTAGGAAATACCCTAGAAGAGTGGATAACAGGGGTCACTAGACTGAAAAAGAATTGCAAGAAACATGAAGATCAGGGTAATAGGTTTTTTCATGATCTACAGGTTGCAAAAGAAATGCGCAATATAGCTGATATCAAGTTGGAAAGGTGTCAAGCTGAAAATCAAATTTTTGAATAAGGTCATAATCAAAATGGAGGATTCACATCATGTCCATCAGTGTGGAATTGAAGTTGAACTAGAAGACATTAAAGCCAAAAATAAGAGATTGATGATGTTTTTGGATCATTTATAAGAGCTTATTGATCATAAAGATTCCCTTAGAAGGAAAAATGAGCAGTATTGTTTACAAGTCCAGGAATTGACATATAAGCTGAAGGAAAAGGATAATGTCATAAAGGAAGTTGCTACCTAAGCAAGCAATGTGGCTCGTAAACTGATTGATTTAGCTGGCTTTACGCAAGAGTTAAAGCAGATTGACAACTCTACACCTGAGCATGAGTGGAAATCAATTTTTATTTTTAAAGAAATATAGAAATTGGGAATTAAAGAATCCCTTATATGTAAAGTTTATTTTATGTATCGAAACTTTTGTTTCAATAAAAGTTTTTCAAGATAATCACTCTCGAATGATACCTTTTGCATATATATATTTACATTGCCCATTTTTTTCCATTTTTGCATTTACATTACGTTTACTTAATTAAGTATTGCTATATACATGTAAATAATTCATGAGAGGTTTTGTAACAGTAAAACCTAGATCATTAATTCATATTACTGTATCATCATCATGGAAACAATGGGGCAATCTCATGAGGAATTGCAAGATCAGCTGCAAGAACAGTTTGACGGGGTACATCAAGATACGAGTAATGAAACATTAAAGGATGGATCGAATCATATGGTCCAAGTAATGGAAACTAGGACTGCTAATAAAGAAGAGATGACCGATA